TTTTTTTTTTTTTTTTTTTGTTCCTTGAAAATTTTGACCATTTCTCGATGTATGCGTGTCATTCTTGCATAGAGGTCATGCCAATCTTCTTTCTCTGTATCGTTCCGATTTTAACGAAATGTTGTCCTTTAAACTCTTTTTTTTTGGCCAATCGAAAACCACCTTATGGTCTCCCTTGGCCTCCCGTACTTCAAATTGCTTCGCGGAAAAACCTGCCCGCCTATGCACCCTACGACCACTCAACATCAGTGGTGAGAAAAAATGTCACACACAACGGAGGCTCCCTCCGTTAGTGGGACTTGGCCCCTGGTCCCGCTGTCATCGTGTAGTTGTAGGAAACAACACCGTGCAACACTTTCAAGTTATTTTGGTGGGAAGAGCACCGTGGACAGTCACTATATTTCCCCTCTGCGGGGTTGTTATTTAGTGTTAAAGATGTTGCTTCGTCCGCATTTGAGGCCGAAAAGTCCGTTTCTATGGCGTCAGGCCATCATTCGTTTGTGCATTGTAGTTCGGCGTTGGGAAGGTTGATGTCACAGGGCACCCCCTCATTATCGTCGCAGGCCCACAATTGGGTGGACTTTGTTTTCCATAGTTCAAATGGACCCGGACTCCGTCCTATGCTGATAATAGTCGAGCAGCAAAGTACTCAAGGTCACATGTTCACACCTGCCCTCCATCAACACCCAGTCCGTCGATAGCCTCCGTCGTGAAATTACTGGCAWATGGGCTGCCGCCCAAGAGACCCCCTCTGACTCTTCCACCCTATCTTCCCTCATGACCACCATGAAGGCCACCGTCGACTCCCTCCAAACATCCCTCTCCAACAGAAAAAATACAGCTTGAAAACAACAAAAAATTTCAGGGAGAAGTACTAATTTAATCTGAATTTTAACAGATTATAAACAGATTTAATGAGGGTTTCTTGATGAACACATGGAAAACCATGGAAATCTTTCTTGATGCAACGATGATTCCAGGGGATGGCATCAGATCAGTTGTTTATAATCCGTTGAGCTTGTGTTGAAAATCAGTTTAAAATCTGTTTACCAATGGTCTCAACCGTTTATAAACACAATAAACACTTGTCCAACTTTAAAACAAATTACCAAAAAAAAAATCTCTTTCGAACTTTAAACCCCATTGTGTTGTTGTGTGTGTCTTTGTTGTCATTGCTGCCCACTTTCTCTCATTTTCCTAAAAAACATGACTATGTACATTTTATTTTTCTCCATGGTTACGTAATGGCAACAGTGCGTTTTTCTACCACGTGTCAAGGAACAGGCATGCTTCAGGGGTGATGTCACCACGTCTGTGTCAAAGCACGACAAACATTTATGCCTCCTATCCCCCCTTCGCCTTCCCATCCCCTCACCCCCCAGTTCCCAATCCTTGCCTATCTGTCACTATCTCTATATTGTTGCAATAGTTCCTGTTGTGGCACCGTTTTCCTCTTCGATGCTGCAAAGGTCGGCAAGTGCGTTACCTTTTTTGTCATGTAGCTCACATTTTTCTGATTTCGCAATGCACCTATCGACTCCCATGTTTTGGAGGAGCGTACATTGCAAATGACAAACAGAAAAACAAATACCATTAAAAAAAAAATGTGTGTATCATATAAGATGATTACTACCCATCCTTTGTACACTGGTTTACAAATGGAAAGTCGAGAGAGAGAGAGAGAGAGAGAGAGAGAGAGAGAGAGAGAGAGAGAGAGAGAGAGAGAGAGAGAGACTAGTAAAATCTGAACGATACATTTCGCCTATAGAAAAGTATTTCTCACGACATCTTCATG